TAAAGTTTTACGCAGAAAACCCGCTTGCTAGTAACATATGTGCGTTGTTAAAATAATTATGGAAATAAGTAATTATATTGTTACATTACAAAGTCATATGGTAAAACGCGGATAGGACTGGACTCGGAAAACGTGGACTAGACGACTGCTTTTGCCTTAATAGACCTTATGTTGGGCCTAAAAATTGTTAAATTTCATTTCACCTCGCTGGGAACTGAAAAAAACTATGGCAAATTACCTTTTTTTATGTGCTGAGTCCATTTCTGAAAAGTTCCGACTCCTACCGCCTGCAGTTTTTTTAAAAAATGCGTTTCAAGTTTCTCTCATTTCAAACTCATCTGTCAACATTTACGCCATTTTGAATAATCTAAAGTCAATTAAGTCATATCAAAATTATTTTCCATCCCTCACAATACTGATTTAGTCCACCCCAGTTTCTTCATTTTAACTTGCGCTGCCTTTTGAAATGTGTAAATGAGTTTCTCAAAGTTTCGCGTGATTTTTTGTGTTTTGCTCGGGCCTTTTATCAAAAGAGATTTTACTGTAGAGTGAGAGTTTTACGGTAACTGAAAAGTCTTGCAAATTTGCAATAATAAAGGCTGTAATAAACAAACCAGAAATGTAAGTACTATAACAAAATGCCAGCTAATAATGATCGCATATGCACAATTCATTTTGATGGCAAAAAAGGAGATTTAAAATTTACTGAAGGAACTTTAGCCAAAGTAAGGATCTCCGAACACAGTGGCTAAGCCTTCTTGAGCAATATAAAGATTTTACAGGTGCTGCAAAAGAGTCTTTTAAACTAATTGATGACAACTCAGACGTAGAGACCTTAGGTGAAGCTTGCGGCTACCGCATCGGAATTTTTACTCCAATTCCTGCATTAAGCGCCCAGTAGAAGAAGTCGAACACGAAACAGATAAATTCAGTAAAAACAGCCAGTCAAAGTTGCCCGTACGAAACGTCAATTACGTCATTCGCTTGGCCGAGAAAGATCGATCCACTCTAAACTAAAAAGCGTGTCATCCAACATATTACCAGACATTTGCTTAATCTGTAAACGTTCGGGACCCTTATACATCACTCATACGGTACGTCGCAGATTTTAATTAATTTCTATTAATCTATCACTTATATTCTGTCGCCTAAAGTTATTTCGTTTATTCTATTGCCATAATCATAGCAGTTTTTCTCCAGGGGACCAAAAAGGGTGTCAAGCAAGAGTTGTCGGTATTGGAATGGATTGTTTTGCATGTGCAAATGCTAAGTCGTGTGAATCAGGGGGCCACTCTGCGGTAATACCTTCACTTTCACTCAAAAGCATTCGAATTTATGCTATCAAATATGGAGAAGAATACTTTCATCGTTCCGAAGCGCCCCTGCTCGTTTCAGAACACCAGCATCGATAGTTTGGACCACCGACAACTCTTGCTTGACACGCTTTTTGGTCACCTGAAGAAAAATTGCTATGATTATGGCAATAGTATAAACATAGGCGACAGAATATAAGTGACATAATGCGGCTTATACCGTATGAGTGATGTATAAGGCTCCCGAACGCTTACACATTAAGCAAATGTCTGGTAATATGTTTGATGACACGCTTTTTAGTTTAGAGTGGATCGATCTTTCTCGGCCAAGCGAATGACGTTTCGTAACGTTTTGAATTGCTGTTTTTGACTCGCTTTGTGTTTCATGTTCGTCTCCTTCTACCGGGTACTTAAAGCTATGGTTGTTTTTGCTCTTTTAAGTTTACTTATGTCAGTAAAATTCCGATAGCACTGGATGTGGTAGCCGCAAGCTTCGCCTAGCAGCGCAAGCTAAAATGAGGAAACTGGGGTGGAGTAAATCATTATTCTGAGGGATGGAAAATAGTTTTATGTGACTTTAGATTATTCAAAATGGCGTAATGTTGACAGAAGAGTTTGAAAATTATAAGAGAAACGTTAAACGGATTTTTAAAAAAACTGCAGTGGGAACTTTTCAAAAATGAACTCAGTGCATAAAGAAAAGGTAAGTCGTCATAAACTTTTTCTGTTCCCAGCGGGGTGAAATGAAATTTATTTTAACAATTTTCAGGCCCAACATAAGGTCTATAAGTTTCACCTTCACATGGCACATGATTTAGTTATGAAACAAGGGCAACAAGAGGAGGCATTCTGGCTAAGTGCCCCTACTTTTCTAAGAAAGATATGCCCCTTCATTTGTTTCTTACTTACGACCAGTCAAAGAATAATAATTAAAGAAGTTTTTGCGTCATTTCAGTGTATAATGAGCTATATGAAATTCAATCAGGCATAAAATAATTCTCATCACTTAGCAATAAATGCCGTTGGACTTAAAAGGGATCGATAAATAAATTGTATTGTCAGTATACGTTTGATTTTACTTTCCAGATATTGTCGGGACCACTGTTCCTTTCGTGGCGAAAGTAAGTAATTCTTTCTTATAATTCAGGTTGTTGTAAACCAGAAAGAGAGGACGAAACAGGAAGACGTGATCTCAACTGAGATTTGTGGATTTCTCGTGGCGCTGGCGTGTGTACGCGAGTCTACTCTGACTTCAATTACACATTGCTCCTCAATTTTCCAATTGGAGAATCTACATCCTCCCCTCATTATATAGGTATAGTCATCAATATACGTCCACATGCAACGCCATTTGTATATACATTGTCCCTTGATATAATTAATTATTATATATTATTCTTTAAAATGAATTATCTTAAATTCTTCTCAGTTTTATATTTTCCATGCCTGAACTGGGAAAATGTCCGAAATTAATGAGAAGGTTTACTTGGTCTCTTTATTAAATGCTGGTATGGTGGGTTGTTAGTCTGTCCTAGTTTTGTTAAATCCAGCTCTGTGTAGCCTAAAAGTGCTTTCGATTTAAATTCACCTCGACCTTCTTCATCCGGAAAGTCTGACACGCTATTAGCTGGTATGACATAATCTGATTCGCGTTTGAGGAGTTTTTGGTAGTTTCTATCATCTGTTTCTCTGCCATCACGACGGATAATATCAAGCCCTGTGTAACCGGTTGGTACTGGTGGTGAATCGTCCACTTGTTCATATGGGCATGTTCTACTGTTCTCTGGAACTGCATATTCTATATTCTAAAAGGAGAAAATTGGCGTTATTAAAACGACACGCAAACGACACACAAAAGCTTGAACTATATATTGCTTTCTCCTTTACCTCGGGAAAATACATTGGAGTTCATGATATTGGAGTTGATGAAACCTGATGGAATGCATAATTCTTGATTTGCGCTTTCGTTTCATTCAAAACTGCCGTTTTTTAAGCGTTGTAGAAATGAAAATGAAAAGCAGTATAACCAGTTTCGGATTCATTCAGAATTACGAGCAATCTTGAAGCAATTGAAAAAACCACCATCCGATAGCGGTATCCAGCTATCGTACAACTGATCCCAGAGCTACTCACCTGGGTATTTTGTGGTTGTGGTTTTGTCACTGGTTCGATTAGAACAACAACCGCTGGTGCGTCTATGGCATGCTCAGTTTGGGTCTCGACCGCCGTATGGACTGCATGAATACCAGTAGCCAACTTTGAAACTTCGTAAGTTCTTCTGCGTATCCGAAAAATGAAAATAACAAGCAATACAGTGCCAAGAGTTGTAGCAACACCAGCGAAAAACATCACAATCGAATTTGTCGTTAGCCCTATCAATAAATCAAAATAATTCGTCAATAAGGTGCAATCAATTGAGGTGGTTTGGAATCAGCGTGCATTCTTGCACCCAAAAGACATGGGATAGAAAGAATCTTCTTTTCTGAATCGTCTTGAATATTTTTTGTCGGACTTCACGCTCTGTCCATATATCTAAATATTTATTAGCAACTTTATTCATTATTCTTGCAATAAATTAAGAATTAAACGTTTATTTAATGTATTTCACCGGTATTTGACAAAAAACCGGGAAGGGTTAATTTCTTACCCGCACATCCTGACTTGTAATTTTCATACATAGATACTGTGGGATCCTGCACTGGAACACCTTTATAGAAACGCACTATGTTACAAAGCACACGTCTCAAGTCGCTGCCTCCTTTCTTGTGTTTAAAACAAGGAAAATAACATTACCTACTAACCTTTTACATCTTTTTCGAAAGCGCACCCATAAAGCTCAAGCCTCATACACACATTTTGACCCTTCATATAACCAGGATGTATCCTAACATGCCTCGCCTCGATAATAGGATCAAGGATACTACGTACAACAGATTTTGGATTTTTTGGCCCCGACAATATCTAAAAAGTAAAATTAAACGTATACTAACAATACAATTTATTTATCGATCCTTTTACGTCTAACGGAATAAGTGATGAGAATTATTTTATGCCTGATTGAATTTCATATAGCTCATTATACACTGAAATGACGGAAAAACTTCTTTATTATTCTTTGACTGGTCGTAAGTAAGAAACAAATAAACAAGCTGTTTTATTGGAGAAAAGTTTTTTGTTTTGTAATGCATTTTTTGAAATTATTTGCCGCAGTTTTTTTTGGCGGGGGTTCCAAATTAGAGGTCAATATATATACAAGGAGTACTATTTTTTTGGATGTTGTATATACTAAAGATTTTGAAGAGCAATGGGCCATTGCCATGTTTGGTTGCGGAATGTTGTAAAAATAAGAAAAAAAGCTTGCTAATACTGCAAATTTTGCAACGAACTCTTTGTATCATGCAATATACCTGGCCAAAAATTACGCCTTGAGCACTTTTGACATAGGAATACTAAGTAAGTGTCTATCTCTGCTTTCCTCTGATCTATCTTAAATAATCTCTATATATACTACCATATGCATATACCATGTCAAATGGTTTTTCTTTTTCTCTATATGCGTAATAAATCCAACCCCTTCCATTTGTGCTGTATGATATTTTGTAACTCTCGACAAACTCTCTTCCTCCGTTGAACTCTCGTCCTTGTATCGCCACTCCACTGATGTTAGTTGGATTCAGCATATCAATTTCAACAAACTGGTCGTAGGAAATATTTTTCGCACTGAAGTTTACCCGGCTTGTGTCTGGACACCACGCACCCCATGGTGGAACATTGTGGTGAAGACGAGCTTGTTCAGAAGAAGCAGTCATACCCTGTCTAACGCTGGAATAAGTGATTTGTGAGTCTTTAATTTTTCCATCCTCCATACCAAGGTCCCTGTGGCATCCTAGGTGATAAAAATAAGTCTAATGTTCATCGTAGTAAAAAAACTTAATACTGAATTCGCGTTCAAGTGTGAAATCTGTTCTATTTCAAGCTTAAACAATAAATAAAAGTTTTTCAAAAACGTCTCGAACCGAAGCGCGTGGAAACTTTTTTTCTAAACGCACGGCTAGACTGAATAATGACTATGCTATTGCACGTGCGATACGTGCCATATAGGTCCTATATAAAACATGTGTAAAATGTACATGTTTCGAGCTTATAAGGCCATGTTACACGGTGCGACTTGCGACTTTCAATGCAATTCTACTTTTGAAAGATGTAAATTAGTCAAGATTTCCAAATGCAAGTGTAAGTGTAAGAAACGCAATGGAGTGTAATAAAGACAAAAATTCTGTAGTTGCCAAATTTACATCTCTCAAAAGAATTGCATTGAAGTTGCAAGAAAAATTGCATCGTGTAACAGGGCCTTAAAATTTTTGATTTAGCATGACTTAGCGTTTGGCTTAGCGTGGCAATAATATCATCACACTGACAGCTATTGCACGCACTTTGAGGTAAGGCTTGAGTTACTCCGAGTAGCCAGATGACAAAAATATTCACAAGAACGTTGATTGTTGCTACCTAGTTTGAAAATAAAAGGAAATTTTAATTTTATAAAGAATAACGTGAATATGATTTTGCGACTGTGTAAATTCCTTCTAAATTCTATACATCACATGCAAGGCGTATCACGGAAAAATATTCATGGCGCAAAAGATAACAAAAGATCGAATATATATTTCGATCTTTTGTTATCTTTTGCGCCATGAATTAGTGGCGGGGTTTTTTTATACAGCCTCTATAATTTATATAATTTAGTCAAATTCATTTGCACAAATTTAAGCACAGCTCACAATTACAAGTTCATGCATTACGGAAGGAAATTGATATTTTCTAGCTTTTTAAATTATTTTCAATTTAATCCCCACGAGAATACGACCTTGTGCTTTTAATCTGAATATATTTACTTAAAAACAATTAAATGTTTTAAACAATAGATAACTAGGGGCAGGGAGCAGCGTGGCAACATCTTCTAACAACTTCGCATCAAATGTTGCATAGCAACTGCCTAAAACCGAGGAAATTGTCGATAATTCGACGATTATTTTGTCAATTTTTAACAGTTTTTGAACAGCTTTATATTCTTTTAATGAACACGTTTATATTCTTTAAATAGTGAACAAATTTATATTCTTTTAATAATGAATCATTCACTTCGCTTAATTTCTGCCAAATAGGGACAAATCATGGCCATATACAAAAATTCAAATGTGAAAGGCGTCACAGTGTACGTATATGTTCTTTGTTGAGAAAGGCGGAATATTGCAATTGCATAAAAAAGTGTTTGTTAGAAAAGTCTAGCCACTTAATGATCAAGTTTGTTTATAGACTTACGCAGCAAAACCTAACCTCGAGCCTAAACTAACATAACCTAACACCTAATATGAATTTAATAATATGCACTTTGATTTAATAGGTCGGCAGAATACCCGTTTGTTTACCAAAACTTGTTGTTTTAATGGCGAGCTTTGTCGTAAGAATACCCCGTTTGTTTACTGAAACGTGTTGTTTTAATGGTGAGCTATTTTATAGGTATTTCTGGTATGAATAATTTGCATGTGTATCGTCCCAAAGTTCTCAACGATTATGTTGCCTCATAATGAGGACATCGGTGTATCGAGTGAGGCGTTTTAACAGAAATGCAGGACTCATATGAAATCAACTAGTACTGAAACGATTGTAAGACCTCTTTTAATTGCTGTATGAAACTTGAACGGAATCAGAATCAGGAATCGTTATAAAGCCAGTCTTTAATTATTTTTGATCACGGTATGACATTACCATAACGTGCTTTAATTTAGATACTTGATAAATTAATTCCCATGTGGCCTCAGTAATTCAAGCATAAATTGTAGCAGCGTCGGATATCATAAACTCCTGTATGATAGCTGTGTAACTGAGCCAAATATATATATTCACCATGCACTCGTTCAGTTTACAACCTGATCCAGTGATCCTATTTACAGGCCATATAATTAGATACAAACAGTTTATATAATGGTTATAAGAGTGAAAATTACGTGACGAAATGCTACTCTAAATAGCTAGTGTTTTATAGTTGGTATAGCAGGAACCATCAATTGAGTATTTAAAAAAAGTCCGAACGATAAACTTTTATATGGTTTCAATTAATCAAGCTAGGTTTTATAATATATTTGTGTATACGTCCAGCTATATATGCGTTTTGACTGACAGTCTATGTTCCAGTTATTTAGAATTTGTTGAATATAAAAAAATATCCTGAACTTACCGACATTCTGTAAACCATCTCCAATATCACGCAATCGACTTTTATGTTGTTAATTTGCAAATTCATCAAGGCTACGTAAATTTGAAGGAGATGATACCGCGTTTATTTTATACAACAAACAAAGTGCTTACGGTTTCCGTTTCCGACAGGGTGGGATCATCTCATCTAGAAAAAATATGTTTTTGCCAAATAATACGAATAAATTTTAGTATGTTTTTCTTAGATAATACGTTTTAAGATCAATTGTGTATCTGATCAATCACAATTTTATAACCTTGACTGGAACCTTGATATTCTAAAACGTATGTTCTACATTAAGAAATTTCAAGATTAACTCAGTTGTTTTGATCACTTCAAAATGCGCGAAAATATTGTAGCTAAAATACTTTAACTTAATCCAAATTTCAGTTGTTTTCATAAATATTCTTTTAAAAATACCTATTTAGTCCCAATTTCAGATAACTAAATCTCCATCATTTCACTGTTAACCTTACAAGAAAAAATCTTCGATAAAAACTTCGCTTGTTTTCATTAATCTACTTGACTCCATTACCAAAAATTTGCGACATGGTGATTTGCATATAAACTAATTTGCATATAACTTTTAACAATAATAGCTTAACTTCTACTATCAAATACATACAGCAAAAGTACAACACCTAAAATTGCCTTTGCCCTGGATGTTCCCCATCGTTTGCCGACCTCTGGATCAATAGAACAGCCGTTTCACAACGTTTTGATGATCGAATTATTTACCTTGGGTGTTTCTACGTTCCGCCAACCGACTCTTTTCAATTGTGTATATACCGCGCTATAATTGTATGGTTGAACTGCCTATCAGACTGATAATATTTTTTAAAGTGCAACTGCAGAAAAAATCCGGACCGTACAGGAAAGTTCATAATATTAGGAATACGAAAGACCAGATCTTCACACGTCAATTCATCAACAATCCAAATCGAAGTGTTCGTATGAATGTGAGCGGTTTTATAAGCTCGTTGAGACGGCAAAAATTTTGGGGAATATGTTCTTAAATTTGGCGGACTGCAGAAATACCCAAGGTAAAAGATTCGGTTATCAAAAGGTTTCTAAACCGATTTTGTCCCCAATTTCTTATAATGAAGTCCTTTCTGCTCTTCAGAGTCTCGTATTAGAGCACTTAAGCCTGAAGTCTCACCATAAGTCCAGGGGCCAGTTGTTCATAGCCAGACTAGTAAGCGTTATAGCGCTAACTCTGGGTTAAAATTTAATCCAGTGTTTTATTTCGTTTATGTGCTTCCGAACCACTGCATATTCATTTTAAGATATGACATTGGAAATGCTACATCTCCCCGCTTTACATAGGTATAGTCCTTAATATAAGTCAACACGCAACGCCTTTTGTATATACATCCTAGCCTTGATAATTAATAATTTTATTGATTTTATTGATTTTATTAATAATTTTATTGATTCTAATTAATTCTTTTCAGATTTAAAATTCTCATTCCTGAACGGGGAAAATCTCCGAAATTAATGTGAAGGTTTACTTGGCCTCTTTATTAAATGCTGGTATGGCGGATGGTTAGTCTGTCCTAGTTTTGTCAAATCCAACTCTGTGTAGCCTAAGGTTGTTTTCGATTGAACTTCACCGCGACCTTCTTCATCCAAAGGTTCTGAAGCGCTATTAGCTGGTATGACATAATCTGATTCGCGTTTGAGGAGTTTCTGGTAGTTTCTATCATCTGTTTCTCTGCCATCACGACGGCTCATATCAAGCTCTGTGTAACCAGATGGTGCTGGTAGTGAATCGTCCACTTGTTCATATGGGCATGTTCTCCTGTTTTCTGGAATTGCATATTCGATATTCTAAATAAAAAAAAATTGACGTTATAAAAACAACACGAAAAGTTGGGTGCATAGTAACACTTTGCTTATACTATTGTTTTTTGTCCTATATTTCGGGAAATACGCAAGTTTGGTTACATGGAACCTTGAATGCATTGCTTTTCCTATCATACGTACTCCACATGCACCCCTTGGCAAAGAGGGTCTCGCATACACCTGAAATTTACTTTCTTTTCGTGTTAATCTTTGCAGAGTTAACACTGCAGAGCTACGCACCTGGTTATTTCGTGGTGGTGGTTCTGTCACTGGCTCGGTTGGGACAACAACGGCTGGAGCGTCTATAGTATGCTCAGTTGCGATCTCGGCCGGCGTATTGACCCCATTACTACCAGTAGAAAATTTTGAAGTTTGACAATTTCTTCTGTGTATCCAAAATATGAGAGCAAATAGCAATTTGGTGCCAAGAGTTGCGGCAACACCCGCGAAAAACATCACAATCGAATTTGTTAGGCCTAGAAAAATATTTGGTCAATGTGAGCCAATCTTTTTAATTGAGGTGGTTTAAAATTTAAATTAAAAATGAAAATTTAAATTGATTTTGAATTATTCCTTTCAAAGCTAATTTCTGTCTCAACTTTTTCTGGCCAATTCTAGCTTTTTAGTAGATAACTAGCTAGTATAATTTTTTTATTATCATATATCATTTGTCAAGTTTGGTGTTTGTAGCGTTCCATTGGTCGAGAGCGAATCACGTGAGTTTTCATTACTAAATTCTAATGTCGCCCGTGAGACGCCCTGCAAAAGGAGATAACGCGAATTTTTTAATAAATATTTCGTTGTTTTGTGTATATTTAGAACACGCTGTTGTAAATAAGTTTAATTGCTTTGAAGATGCCGTGAAAAATACAACGAAACGTTAGCCAATAAATTTTAAATCTTGTCATGACTTGTTTGAAAGTGATTCGTTTAGCTTTATTTTCATTTTTAAAATACGCTTTCCGCCTGGTGTTTCCATCGCTATACTGATTTGGAATCCACGTGAGCGAATCTGTCAACTCAGCAGAAAAAGTGATAAAACTAGTTAGGATTTTCCTACTTTCATAATTTTTTTGCAGGAGCAAAATCCTCTGGATATCTGAAAAAAAGTACTACTTGCCAAATGACATTTTCAACAAAAATGCTAGGACCATAATAAACTATTAAACCTCGCGCTCTGTCAAAATTTAAATGCATGTTTATTAACTATCTTTTTATTATTCTTAAAAGAAATTGATGAAGAATAAATGATTGGTCAATAACTGTGGCAAATCGATTAACGATTTGTCAATGACAAATTCCTATTCTTCAGTATTTAACAAAACATGCATGGTAAAGATAATTTCTTACCTGCACATTCTGATTGGTTATTTTCATGCAGAGGGGGTGTGGGCGTTTGAGTGACGACTTCAATACCTGTATGGAAAATATACTATGTTCATAAGAGGACGATGTAGTTATGGGATTAGTATCTATATGGGATTAATTATGGGATTAATATTTAAATTTTGTGACCAGAGATCGCAGACATGAAATATGCAGATTGCCGTTAATGATTTACTTTAGTTTAATTTAATGACTTTATCAAAAACAATTTACAACATGCATGGATGATAGGTGAGCAGACAGAACGTAATCCCAATTGAGTCTGCCTATCCTACCCTAATTATGAAGTTTCAAACTAAAATTCAATAAAACAATTTGCATATTTGTTCAAATATCTTTCAATAATGAAATAATTAATTATATTGCACATTCGTGAATTCCGAAAGTGGAGAAATTTTACGAATTTTTCATTTCAAATATATTGTATTTCAGTGGTTGATATCGTGCCAAATGTCCTTGAATCCTCGTCACTAGTCGCGAATAAATCCCATATGTGTGTCTGAACTGATCACCTCTCTCCTTGGGTGAAACAAGAGCTACCGTCACAAATATCGTTACCTATATACAAACCTCTTATGCCATTTTCAAGTGCACACCCATACAGCTCAAGCCTCATACACACATTTTGACCCCGCATATAACCAGGATGAATCCTTACGTGTCTCGCCTCGATAATAGGGTAAAGGATACTTCTTACAACAGATGTTGGATTTTTTGGTCCCGACAATATCTCAAAGGTAAAATCAAATGTATACTGAAAATACTATTCTTCGTACCTGATATCGCTTTCATTTTTTTAAAAACGTTCTCCCCTTCTTTGAAGGTTAGTTGGTTGGAAGAAACAAACTTAAATGCACAGTGTACTATCTAGGAGAGAATGGGCCGCCGAAAAATCGATAGATAAGTGGGTCCTACTCTTTTGATATTATAGTATATGTTTGGCAATGCAACTTTGCAAAAAATAAGTAGATAGAACTAGATAGAGCAAATATTTCAAGTTTTATACTTCTTGTATCACGTTGAGTACTTTTAGCCTAAAAAAATATTTGTCATTTTCTCTCCTTTCTCTGATCTACTTTCAATGATCTCACTATATATGATGTGATGAAAAGGAAACTTTCCAAGAAAGATTTCCATGTTGCCATACCATGTCAAACGGCATTTTTTTATCACTATATGCGTAATAAATCCAACCACTGCCATTTATGCTGTACGATATTTTGTAACTTTCAACAAACTCTCTTCCTCCGTTATACTCTCGTCCTTGTATTGCCACTCCACTTATGTTGATCGGATACAACAAGTCAATCTCAATAAACTGGTCGTAAGAATTGTTTTTTGAACTGACGTTTACACGGCTTGTGTCTGGACACCAGGCACCCCAAGGTGAAATATTGTGGCGAAGACGAGCTTGTTCAGAGGAAGCATTCGTACCCTTTCTAACGCTAGAGCATGTGATCTGTGAGTCTCTAATTCTTCCATCCTCTAAACCAAGGGCTCTGTGACATTCTAAGCGGCAAAATGTTACAATTGTCGGCAGTGGCATAGCCAGCCTGGCGATTTTGCCCTGCGCTATGTAAATTTCAACTTCTTATAATTATTCATATATTTAGAAACACCAAAACAATAGCACCAAAATATTAGCATAACGGAACAAATCGTCAGGCTGGGTACGCTACTGATTGTGATTAGATGTATTTTAAAACTATTATATTATTCCAATATCCGTAGTAATAACATTCATAGCACGTACTTTCAGGTAGAGCTTGAGTTATTCCGAGTAGACATATAGGGAAAAATGTCGTAAGAACGTTGATTGTAGCTGCCTAGTTTAAAAAGAAAATAAAAATTCCCTATTATCAGGTAGTGCATGTGTGTCTTGGGGTGGATCTAAGAGTTGTTTTTCGACGTACGAAAAATCCTGGATCCGCCCTGTGAATATTTATCTTAAGTTCTTCCCAAATTTCGTTTATGAAATGCAATATATTTATATCTATATATTTATATAATTGCATAGAGCAGCATTCCGTCAACTGCATGGCTATCTCTTGCGAATTAGGATTAATCCCCCAGCCGGTGAGAAGCACCGGGCGAGGGTGATAATTCCGCCCGGAGATTTTAATTGCGCCTGTGGGAATGCAAATGCGAAATCAAAGTTGTCCGCCATTATGTCATGGACGTTGGGCGTTTTTTTAAGTTATGCGCTTGCGTGAGTTTAAAACGAGTTAAAACCAGTGAACTATAATAAGACTGGAACGATAACTCAACAATAAAGACTAATCATTGGATGAAGCCGATTTGAATATAATTTGCTGATTAAGGCGGGAGCCGCGCGAGCAAATCAAGCCTGCAAAAAAACTGGGGAGAGTGAGAATTCCGTAAAAATCGTATTTTTTGGCAAAAAATTGCCAGAAAAGTGCAAATTTTATTTGACCACTTCAACTTTAAACAACGAATTTACCCTTTTTGGATAGACCTAAGTAATCCGCATCATCTTACTGTAAAAACCGGCAGGTACCAGCTTTGTACTGAAAATATTTAAAGAAATTGAACGGGCCGAAAAAAAACTTCGCCTTCAACTCGCAAAAAAAATAGGTTTGCACCTTTTCATGTTCATAAAACCTGTTTTTTAGTAAAATCTAAGTGTCAGTGCTTGTTTTAAGCTTTTATTCATGATCAGATGAGATGGATTTGTGTATAAAAACCGGCGGTGTTTTGGTGGTGTAATTTCAACTCTTGGCCTTCATGGCGGCCATCAGTGCTGCTTTCAAAGATGGCGGCCAAGTTATCGTTCCAGTCTTTTTAGAGTTCACTGGTTAAAACATGTAACTAGCAAATGTTTGGAAGCGTGCTATTGGCTGAATTAAAATTTTGGTTCCCGTCAGCATAACTGATATTTTGAATTATAATTTTTTTTTAAATATCTTTCAATTGGATGATTTTGAAAATGTACGAGAAATTCACTCGTAAAATTGATTAAAATACTGATTTTAGAATAGATTGGGAATAAAGGACATTTATTTCTGTCATGTTCTTAACTCTCATTTTGTAGATAATAAATTAATTCTACTTCTAGAAAAAACCTGCAAATAAAACAGTTTGGAAAGTTTAAGTGTGCATGTGAAAGCACGAGAATTAGAATTTCAATAGCTAATTACGCTTCTGGTATCTGAAAAGCCGGAATCTTTAGAAGAGGAAATGAGAAAAGCCGGAATGTTTAAAACAAGGAATGGGAAAAGCTGGAAACTCTAAAGCAAAGAACGAGAAAAACCGGAATCTTTAAACAATGAGCGAGAAAAGCCGGAATCTTTAAAACAAGGATAATAATAGATAATCTTATTGGGGCGTGCACGTATTAAAGATAAAAAATCATAATACCTAATTTGTAACTAATTTTCATTTCACAATTACTCGACATTTCATGCTATTATTAACTGATGAAAGGTATCATTGGAAAGCAGAACAACTGCTCTTTCATATACTGCAAAATAATTAAATAATTAAGTTCAATATATCCAACGTAAGAGCCCGTAAATTTCATTTCCTTTTTCTAAGCCGTGTATATATAGTTGTTATTCCCAGTGTTGATAATTTGATAATTCGATGGCGTTGTCACTCTCAAATAGCACACTCTCGAATGAGCCACTTTAAAAGCAATCTACACTCTAAAAGTAGCTGCAACGTATGTAGCTAGCTATAATTAAGGGCTGTTTTACAATGCAACTTGAACGGCAAAAATCAACAAAACATCCGGGCAGCTATAGATATGGCTATAAATGAGACACGTACGCGTATACATATACATAATATACATATAATAATTTCCTTCAGGATTCATTTATACATTCCTGCAGCCTATTTCAAGCATAAATTGTAGCAGCTTCGAAGATCATAAACTCTTGAATAGATAGCGGTCACTATAAGCAGAAAACCTTTATTGCGTATACGAAATAATATATTCACCATTATATGACTCGCTTATTTAGCTACTGGACGCTTGATTACTAGCTATTACCTAGCTGCCTTAATCACAAACAGTTTAATAACTGTAATCATGTAAAATAACCGGTTTATTTTACGTTATGCTTTTCTGTTTCTAAGTATTTTACCACTAAGCATTTTAATAAAGAAAGTACTTCCGAATATGATCATTTTTAATTCCATAGAATCTAGCTAACCTTTCGACTATGTTTCCATCATGGACCAGCATTTGTAAAGAAGTAAAAATGACCTCAACTTACCGACATTCTGTAAATCATCGAGCAATTCTTTGTGCTGCTAAGACGTGCAGGCCAACTTAAGTTTGAAGGAGCTCTACCTTACATATGGCGTCTATATGTACTCAAAGTATACACTTAGGGCTTCCGTTCCCGACAGGGTGGGAACAAAAATATTTTAGAAACAAAAAGAATAATGACAATTGGGTATAACCTAAATTGGTTAGACTTTAGTATGTTTTTGATTACTACATTTTAAGATCAAAGTTTTAGTTTTCTGTATTGGCGGGTTAAGTACTTTGACAACCTTTCAACCTTCGTATGTATATTATATCCCACATGACAGTGGTGTAACCAGATTTTGTTTGAAAAAAATGGTATTCTGAAAGGTATATATGCTTTGACATTGGGAAATTTAAAGTTAAAATAATTATTAGTCTTTGTCCTAAGTCATCAATACATGTATAACAAAGGCCATCGGTCGCGGAGCCTTTTTTACTTCCTTGCAGTAATCCACCCTGACCTATAAAGTCAATGTTACTTATTAGTTATTACAATGCATATAACAATGTTATCTCTTATGAGCTTTACAAAAAAAGTGGATAGTCTCATTAATATGGAATAGCCTCATTAATATGGAAATGACTTGATAATTGACGTCATCCTTTTCAAATTTATCCGGCAAAGCTGTCCACACGTATCCGCTCAGCCGTCGTTTTCAAATTCTTCCACTCTGGAGAGCGTTTTCAGATTCTTCCGTTTTCAGTGGGCGAATACGCCGGATACGTGTGGGCGGTACGCGGAACAGTAAGATTATTCTTGCGTTATCGGGGAATATTCCGGCGTCGTGTGGACGGCGCCTACGCTTTTTCTCATGTAGGTATACATAATTATTAAGATCTCGCGGTTAGATTTCTTTCAGATTGAATCTCATTACGCGCCTTTTTCTCAATGAATTTGCTTGGAAGTCTCTTTTTAAATTCTTCAAGACCTGGCACAGTCAAGTCGATCATAGAATCTATTTATTTCAAGAACACAAGCATTCGGAAAACTAGAAATGCACGTCACGCGCGAGTAACTGTCTGGAAATGTGTGTTATTATATTATTTCAAACTATTTTCTGATCAACTGTCAATTATCTGATCAACTAATTATTTGCTCAACTGATTTACAAGAATATTTACATGAAAAGGATAGAACGTAGAAATTTCGGCAATGCTTCACATTACTTCCTAATTATCAGATGTTGGTAAGAAGCATCACATTCCTGGCCAAGTTTCGTCAAATCCAGCTCTGTGTAGCCTAAAGGCGTTTTGACTTCACCACGGTCTTCAGCGTTTGAAGGTTCTGACACAGTATGAGCTGGTATGACATAATCTGATTCGCTTCTGAGGAGTCCCTGGTAGGCTCGATCATTTGTTTCTCTCCTGTTCTCATAGCGTATATCAAGCTCAGTGTACGGAAAGGGTACAAGTTGTGGATCTTGAATTTGCTCGTTTGGGGACATTCTGCTGCTACCTGGAATATCATAATCTGCGACCTGTATCAAAGAATTTTTTGTGATTAGAACGACACATTTATCGTAGCCCTAGGTGTCCGCTCTAAAAGGCTATAGCATTTTCTTAGATATTTTTTGCGTGAAATCTTTCGCTATTATAAAAATATTAGGTGAAGAATAATATGAATTACAAGCACACAAGGTGAATAGAAAACGGCTTTGGAGGGGCATAATCTCATAATGCAAATCAATTAAACTTGTCAACTGGAATTCTTACAGCAATTATATGAGCAATTCTTCTTCGCACTTAATTCGCAGACAGAAATGGCCTTATCGTATGTGAAGGAAATCTTTCGCTAGGGGGAAAATTTCTCCTTCTCCTCCTCATATATAGTTTACAAATGTACTGTTAGGTTTCGTGAAAACAGCATGCCATGAGTAATAATGATCAACAGAAACCATTTATATCGGAATCTGAACACTCACCTGTCGATTTTCTTGTTGTTGTTCTATAGCTGGTTCAGTTTGGAACTCGACCGCTGTTTGCATATGGACCGCATTTACACTGGTCGACTTTGCAACAAGGCGATTTCTTCTGAATGTCTGAATTACGAATACTGCAAGCAGTACGGTGCCTAGAGTCATGGCAACACCCGCGAAAAACATCGCAATCGAATTTTTTATTTGCCCTGCGTAATAAATTGAATACTTTGATTAGTGTGAAACAAGCTAGGTCTATGTGTAGGGACAAGGCGGTGAAGCTCAAATGATAATCATTATAAAAAGAAAATGTTTACTAAAGTACTATATAAATTAAGTTATGCATAATTTTTGAAGTCAATTAAACAAAAAACTAACGTCGATGTCTGTTTAAAGCAGATACAGCTCTGGATTTTTGAACATAAACCTAATCAAGTTGATTACTTGCCTTCACAGCCTGCAAAAACCGTCGTATTTGTGGAGGAATTCCCTTTCTTCACTGGTCGACCTAGAAAATGCACTCTGTTTAATCCAGGCGATAATTTGTTTTGTATCTGCACCACATGTCTCAATGGCATACTTAATGTTTTGCATTTTTGTTTTTAACATGGATTATATACGAGGTTATAAACTCAGAGTAGATTTACAGGGACATATTCTGTCCTTTTTAGGCAAGGGGCATACTTTGCATTTTAGATTTCTTCGAATAATTTGAATGCAAATTAACAGCAATGTGTAACGCCTATATTCAAAAAGCTCACTCACACTCACACTCATTGAGTGTTACATGTAAATTTTGTTAATGCTGATCAATGAGAAAGTTTTCTCTGAATGAGATGGAAAGATATAAGGTAAATCACTGAAAATCAAGCTCCCTTTCGGCTTGAAATACCATTATTAAACGTTATGAGAAGATTAAGATCTCCCACTCAATGAGTTTGAGTGTGAGTGAACTTTTAGAATACAGGCGTAAGTATTCGTTTTAATTTTGGAGCTAACGACGTTTTTCGTTAAATTAACACTTACAGAGGCATTTTTGTTTCAGTTGAAAAGATCGCTTGTCACCAAGCTATATACCTGCTGCTTTTACTTTCATCTTTATTATATACAACAATTTTATACCAACTAACCTTTTATATCTTCTTTAAATGCGCAGCCATATAGCTCCAACCTCATACACACATTCTCACCCTTCTTATAACCCGGATGAATCCGAATATGCCTCGTCTTTACAGTAGGGTTTAGAACTCTACGTGCAACAAATTTTGAATTGTTTGCCCCGGTCAGTATCTAAAAGACAAGATATTTCTGGCATTTTTGAATCGCTATCAAAGAAAGCTATTGAATAAATTCAATTTTTCAATTATTGCTTTTCAATTTTACTCATTTCCGTCTGGCTATACGCCCTTTAGAGCTTAGAAGACCTAAAAATGGTCTTGACACCCAATCCTTTAAAGTTATCTCGACCTTTAATGACAACTATAAAAAGATATTTGCAAATACCAATCATACCGTATCAAGTAGATTTCCCCTTATTCGATACACGTAATCGGTCCAATCGTCTCCATTCTTACTGTATGATATTTTATAACTCCCAACAAATTCTCTTCCGCCGTTATACTCTCGTCCTTGAATTGCAATCTTACTGATGTTGGTCAAATGCAATAAATCAATATGAATAAACTGGTCGTAGTTGATATTTTCTGCACTGGACCCAAAGAGGTTTGTATCAGGACACCACGCACCCCACTGTGGAATATTTCGGTGAAGACGAGCTTGCTCACCAAACGCCGTAGTTCCTTTCTTTACACTAGTATACATAATCTGAGAAACTCTAATTCTTTCATCCTCCATGCCAAGGGCTGGGGACGTATAACATCCTATAGGTGGTAAATTTTGTGTAAATTGATGTTCATGATTAAACGGCAGTGATTGATAGCATGCTGTTCGAAAGCAGGATAAAGTTATCTACTGCATGATTTGTGATTCACTTACCTGTGGTAAAAATGCTTTTAAAAGCTACCATGCTACATATTTAATTTTCACTTTAAAGTGGCTCGATACAGTTTTCAAAAGTTCCACTGTTCATCACTTTGACACGTTCAAACAACGCATTTTTATGATTTATTTCAGAGATATTGGGGTTTTTATATATTTTGAAGTTTCTACTTTTGAATCGTATTAGTTTTAGTAACAAATTGTTTGTTGCTATGGCAACATACGTGTACAAAATTCACTCCAAAATGACCAATTGCTTCAGATAGTTGGAAAAGAAACACGGTGACCCCCAATTTTTTTTGGTGCATTATTTTACTTGGAAGCTTAAGAAAAACTAACAATTAGCAAAATATAAAAAAAATTCTATAATGCCACATTTTTGAAAAATGCAAAACTGACTTTTTTTGCTATTACAGAATTTTTTTATATTTTGCTAATTGTTAGTTTTTCTTCCAAGTAAAATAATTAAACGAAAATAACGAAAAGAAATTGGGGGTCACCGTGCTTTTTTTCCAACTATCTGAGGCAATTGGTCATTTTGGAGTGAATTTTGTACACCTATGTCACCATAGCAACGGACAATTTGTTACTAAAACTAATACGATTCAAAAGTAGAAACATTAAAATATATAAAACCCCAATATCTCTAGAATAAATTGTAAAAATGTGTTGTTTGAACGTGTCAAAGTGATGAACGATGGAACTTTCGAAAACCGTATCGAGCCACCTTAAAATTGTGAAGTTTGATCTTAATTGGCCATGCTAAAAGTTCATATTTTCTAACTTTTTGACCGACCCCTGATATCAGGTCTTTGTTTTATCTCTAAAGGCCCGTTTATACACTTGCAATTTTTGCTGCGATTTTATGTGCGATTTTCCTCTTTTAATAGATGTGAACGAGTAATCAGTTACGGATGCTCTGATGTGTACGAGCTCCTATTTGAACACCGTAACTACCTCACTCTTTCGTATCTGTCAAAAGACGATAATTGCACACATAAAATCGCAGCAAAAATTGCAAGTGTAAAAGCGGGCCTTAAAGCTTTCTCAGCATTCTGCACTGGATAGCAATTAAATCATTATAGTGCACGTACTTTCAGGTAGAGCTTGAGTTACTCCAAGTAGACACATAAGAACCCATTTCATACTGAGAACGTTGGCTGTGGCCATCTGAAATAATTTTATATAATCCGGTAACTTTTATATAATAAATTCTATATAACGAATTAGGTAATATACGATTATATATGCAATGAGTAATTACCAAAGATCATGTATGTATATTGGGGGCCGGATAATACCGATATTGTTGTTCAGTTTTTTCTTTTAACTACGTGGAGAACGAGAAAAAAAATTTAGAACAAAGTTATTTATAAACGACAGATCATAAAAAACCTTAATGAAATCCGTATAAAAAACTGTTTCTTTAAAAAATTTTTAGTACGTTTTACAACAACAGGTAATTGGTTAAATAGGTATATTTTTCACACCTATACTTTTCATGTTGACCAGTGTATAACTATAGTTGTAATTATATTCTCGGCTGTATACGAGTGGTAAATAATCCACAGTTCAAACTAAAGCCAATATAATGTATTGACTATTGTACGAGCTCTTTGTCAAGTATACAAGGCCACTCTCGAAGCACCGAGATTTTCTTTGTACCTTTCGGTAATATTACTCCAAAATAGTTTGAAGATGAAAACAGGAAAATTTGCGTTGCTACGATTCTAGCTAAATATTGTTTAGCGCAATCTTGTTTGATGTTCAAATTTTTAGATACATGCAGTAACTTCAGATTTTGAGATATCAGAACCAACTACGCTGCATATATCAACTGTCCGGACGCTTGGACACGCTTATAAAGCAAATAAATATCTCAAAGGAGTCCAAAAGCATAAATAACGTATTGTCCCAAAGTTATTCTGTATAGCATCGGTATACTCACGATTAGGATGGCTTCAAATGGGGCATTCGTATGGTGAAATCGATAATTTAAATGCTGATAAATAAGCATGGTGCTGGCAGTATCACTTTGACATCCTTGACTTTCAGCACAATTGAAACGCGCTCGTATGATTTCAAACTCTTTCTGCAGCGTCGCTAAGATGACGGCTTCGACGGCGTCGTAGATCAAATTAGTTAAACTGTCTAATGGTACGGCGGTAAGTATATTCCAAATGTTTACTTAAAATTAATGTGTTCACTAATATTAATGCAATCTTAACGACTCGATTATTTAACTAAAGGTGTACGTGGAATGAAGGCATCAAGTACAAACCTTTGATTCACTATAACGCTAATTATAACGCTTTTAAATAGTTAAATAGAAAATAGTCCTTTGTTGAAATACACTATATTTTACGTTTAGTGTTTAATGTTTATAAAAACGACAACCCTAGTTTGAACTGCTCTGAACCACATGCAAAAACTTACCGATTTTGTTAGTTAAATATCACACAATTCTTTGTACTGTTGGATTGGAAATTCGCGTAACCCAGTTTAAATCGCTTGAAGTAAATCTATCAACTATGTCGTCTATTGTATGGAAGTACGTTTAGTTACCATTGGCGAATTATGCATGATTATTTCACTGTGCAAACGAGGCAAACAATGTCGGTTTTTCCGGATGCTGTCCTCACTGAGCCCTTGAAACAGACGTCACACTTACTTTTGTTTGCCTTCCCCACACTGATCTCTATAAAACCTGTAGCGATTACCGACGGTTGTTTAGCCGTGACCTTTAAGGATAACGCCGCGGATTCAAAAAACAGTGAACATTTATTAATTTTTGTCAGCGTGATAGTGAAAAGCCCAAACAAAAACAATAGAAATGGCCTGGTAATCCTCCTTTAATTCAACTTAAATTGCTATTAATTGCCAAAAATGAGGGAGTTTTTTTTTAACCGTTTTTGCCGTAATTATCGATATCGGACGATATTTTAACGATGTAACGATGTTCATAGATGTAACTGACTTGCCTCATGCAATAATATCCAACTGATTGTGAAGAAAATCTGGCTGATTGAGAAGGTTGTCATCTAACTGTAGGTGAACTTTCTCATGCATTCAGCAATGCCTCTAATAAACTAACTTTGAAACTAAGAATATTTATTAGACCAGCTGGAAAGAACATCCCAAAACTGTGTAAAAGTGTCATGCAAGTTTAGTGACGAAATATTTGCAAAGTGTGAAAAATATCAGCTGCACTGAAAGTTGGCACATTTTGCATTCTGATTAGATGAAAATGCAGGTGGCTGTAATTTTTTTGGCAAGATATACCCATTAACCTTCTCAAAGCGTTCTTTGTGAAAGATATCGTTGCAAATGCACTCTTTTCATTATAATAGGCCAAAAATCATTCAATTCGAAAATGTTAGTAAATCCAATGTTAGTAATAAAACTAATATTATTATAACTTTCTTTACATTTACTAAAGTTATGTCAGCGACCTATACCAGGCAGAATTTTGTTATTTTCGCGGTTTAGGGAGGTGTCGTGGCTAACAAAGAAACCTTTTTCCTTTATGCTAAGAATTTTAGTTAAACGTGATGCCCAATCGGATGATTAATTGTAATAACCGCAAGGAAAAAATTGAAAAAATCGTTGGAATAAGTTGCTATGAACAATAATATTAACCTTCATAAAATTAAACCTCTTCTAAATTATGAACAACTTTTTGTCTTTCGTTGGTAAAAGTGCAAGATGAGAGCGATAATCCTGGATGAAATATCACGATTATTACCGACTATGCATGCTCACGTACTATGTGTACATCCGATCCTGCATGTTGTGAGGATCATCGTTACGCTGACAGCCTGACAAGGCATTATAAGGCATGGTATAAGGGATATAATTTGGAATTACCATATACAGGCACAAGCATGCATGCAGATAATCAATATCCTTCCGACAGGAGAATCCACCCGCCTATGTTGGCGATAGAAATCCCATGTGTTTTCTTTATGACGTGAAAAGTTTTATCAATCAAATTTGTTGAAAAAAACAAAGATCGCACTAAAATTCTACGGATTAAACGCCAAGTTTCGAAATTATTACATAGTTCTTTCCATGTTTTGATATCGTAATTATAATTATATATAGTGCGCACGATTGGACTTGATTAATAAACAAGGCGCCTGCTCAGGCGTTCACTCGGGCTACAGTTATCTCGCTTGAGCTTGTAAAGCCTAATTCTTGGTGTTATTGCATGTTCGTGTCACCCGCGCGAGAAATGATCCCAGGACGATTTCGATACGTTCAAAGACTTCATGCCGCCCACGCGTCATTTTCGTAAACTCGCGACGCACATTTTCTGATGTAGGGCTAGAAATCTCCGACTTCCTTATATGCTAAAAGTTGCAAGTCATTACTATTGATACAGTTTCTAAAACTGTATGTTATGTTACTGTTATAAAGTATGCCAAGTTACGTTACGTTGCGTACGTATATGGTTTGTTTTTAGCAATTTTGATTTAGCTTCTAACTCATACCGATCTCGCAAACCACTGAATATACCAAGCATACCTATATCATGCAAACACCAACCCAGCATTAGCGCCGATCTTTGGAGACCGAGGTCAATTTAATTATAGGGTTGACACGTGACATACGTCACACGAACGCAAAAAAACTCACTAAATAGCGATTGTTTTAGTCAGGAATTTGATTGCAACATGTTCTCAACAATCTAAACTCGACCTTAAATGATTTATGCAAAGATTTAACGTTAGTTTTTCAAATCAAAGGGTATTTGCTAAAGACGTTTGCTCGTTTGAGATTTTTTCCTTGCAGAGAAAATCACACTTATTGCTAAGTATTTAGATAAACTCAATAATTTACAAGCACGTATAGTTGACGTCCTCGTGTAACAATCTAATTTATTCCCTTTGCGTTTCATTGCATTACACTTTATTTAAAGGATTGTCAATGAATTACCTAGGGGCCTGTTTACAGGGAGCGAGTTATCCCGGCTAGGCGAGATAAAAAGCGCATCACATCAAAGGCTTAATTGACTTGATTTGTCTTGCATTATAATTATGCCGTTCTTACCTCGGCTATAGCCGGGATAACTCGCTCCTTGCAAACCCTTACATAAAAAAGCCCTTACATAGAACTGGTGTCCATCACAAATTAATCTCCCATTAATTATAGCGATTTCCCAGTAGGTCTTTTCGAAGTCGTAAATGTTCTGCAAATGATAAACGGGTTTTTCGGTTACCTCTTTGCTTGATACAATCAATGTTTGTTGAGTGTTTCCTAAAAGCAATGTGTAAAAAATTTGTTATCACCGAAGTTCAATAAGCAAACACTTCGATGAATGTTGGCTACTTGTTATTTAGCTAAATTTAAGCTAATTCTTTGCCCGTGAAGTCAGACCTTTTAGCATAATATTTAAAAGCCAAACGCACACGACGGGATTCTTGAGTCGTACGATTTTACTCGGCCGATTTTATTCGGCAAATATCAGACTGTTTTGATACATTTCGATTGCATCTGGCCACTAAATCGCTTGAAATGACATCGCACACGCAAGGATTTAGTAGGCCGAACAAATTCGTACGACAAAAATCGCGTCGTGTGCGCCTGGCTTAAACGAAGAAATTTTATCAACTCTGTCGGACTATAATAGTAAGGGCTATAGACCTTTGACTCCTAAAAGCGACCTATGACGAGTTCCCGACTCTCCTTGTGGCATATGCTAACTAATGACATGATTGTATGAATGAATAATTTGCAAGCTCTTTGTTTACAACGGAGCGCCATGTCGGCTATAACAAAGGCTTCTACAGGCCATTCATAACATCTCGCTTAAAGAAATGGCTGAAGATGATATTCGGCTGGAAGATAGTCTGCCAGAATACGGGTGGCGAATTAAACTCGATCATACTTTTCCGCAAAAACCACGGCCAAGCAAGTTGCCGAGATGGAGACAGCTTCCAAAGCTGGTCGGCCTTGGCTATCGGTAATATGACTTCGGATTATTTCTCTGGAGTTCTCAGTCGCACTAGCTAGGACAGATTCAGCGAAACTCTGAAGTTCTTGCTTCGTGTGCATAATATATAACCTGCCAAATATCCCTGCAACGTGCACTTGATGTCTTGAAGTACATAGAAGAAAATTTGGCCGACGATCTTCAAGTCGGCCCCGGCAGAGGTCGTTGCTTATGCAGTCTATACAATTATATAGCTATCAAATTTTCGTTTTTAGGTTTATGAAATATGCTACAAAAGAGAAAAAAGAAGGAAGAGTGCCTTTTATAGACCCTTATAAAATGAATCCTTGTCGTCAAGTATACGGTGAGACAAACGTTGAATCTTTAAAGAGCTTGTATTTATTTTGAAACATTATTTATAGGATTTTCGGACATTTTATCTTTAATATCCGTGTGTATATGCGTGTAAAAGTGATTTTACACTCTTCATATAGATGAAATACTTTTAAACAAAGACTAAGACTGTCCCAAAAGACTGTCCCAAATTTGACGTGATAGCCAAAGTATTGAATAATGGCTCAACTTTGTTGTACGAATATGTTCAGGAAAATTATGCAAAAAAGATATATTTACATGCAAATTGTTTCAAAGGTATACATTACAAACAAAATGCTTCGCAAAGATATTTAATTGATGTCATGAAGCCCTTCAAAGTAAACTTTGTTTTAGAACTTTGTATTCGGTGCACCATCTGCGGTGAAACCTCGTATGTACATAGCACCGAGTAAATATATAGTCAAAAAACAAGCGGTAAAGCTTGAAGCAAACCTTATACCTAAATGACTATGTATTTATGAAGCGCTTACGTTCATATATTTTCTTGAGCTGTGCTGTGTCAAAAACACGGTTGTAACACGTAACTCGTAAGATATGTTTGCTAGCTATATTTTTATTTACAATTTGTATTTATTGTTTTACATATACAAAATGAAGAAATTAATCATTCGTATACTGTCTGAAAGTAAGATGTCATGACGAGGTCTCCGAGGACATGAAGATAGCAATCTATGCATACATATGCAAATACAAGTAACTTTATTGGCTATTGTAAACAACGGCAGGTGTTTGAGGTCTTCATGAGCACAGAGACCAAAATCAATATACTTACTAGATATTTCACTAGACAAGAAACAATAAAGTATTGTATTTTAACTAAAATAACGATTTTTTTCATAGCAACCATTTTGCAACTGAATATGGCTTGCATTTAATGTACTTCTGCTCTAAGCAAAAGAAAGAGAATTACGTTGTTGCAATTGACGAATTGTGCAATTTCTTTGCAAAAAACATTGCAATCACAAAGTAGGCTTTTAACAGTGGCTTCCAATCGTAAATAGTTGAATCCGTTTGCTCTGCGATATAATACGATACTCAAAAAGCCCTTGCTATACTATAAAAAATAACAAACAATATGCGATGTAGGTACATAACTTTATAGAGGCATAATCAAATTACTCGGCCCGAAAAGTAGCCAGAAGTTTCAGACTTATGTTTCAGACTTAGGAAATATAAGTATGAGAAGTATTATCTATGCAAAAAAATACTTATCGGCCAATGTAACCTGTTGAACCCAGTGCCTTTTTCGCACCTCGCGAAGTTCT